CCCCAAAACCCCAAAACCCCAAAACCCCAAAACCCCAGACAATCTATATTTTATTGAAACTGAGTTATACCTGGACTTGAGCCTGTCTGTCAGACACGCATTGAGTGTAGATAATGTTTTCAGGGATGAGGGACTCAACTTCCTTCCTGATATACTTGGCACCCCATCTTCTTTCAGCATCCTTACAGATATCATACAGATCTCTTCCAGACATTCCTTCAGTAGATTGAGCAAGAGTATCGAGCTCTTCCTTGGTGAGCTGCTTTGCATACTTGTGTAAGATCTGGCCCCTGGTCTTTTCATCTGGGAGATCGAACTTTATGGATAAATCAATTCTTGAAATTAAAGCTGAGTCTAGATCATCCTTTCTGTTGGTGGCACAAATCAGCAGCACATTTCCCTGTGTCTCAAACGAGTCAATCTTCCTGAGAAGAGTTGAGAGCATTCTCCTGGTAGCTTCATGAATGTTATCTTCTCTTGAAGTCGCTAAGGAGTCTATCTCATCGATGAATAGAATACAGTCCCTGAATTTTTGGCAGTGTTCGAAAATTTCAGACAGTTTAGATTCACTCTCTCCGTAAAATTTGGATAGAATAGCTTCAACTGGGAGGTAAATCAGTGGAACATTAACCTATCGAAGTACATTATACAACAATTTAAAATGTTTACTGTAAACTTTTTGTTATAAATAATACGTCACACAAATTTCAGGTACTAATAGTGATTCAAAAGCTAGAAAACTTAAGATTTTAGCCTTACCTCTTGTCCCATGATTCTAGCAGTTGTTGTTTTTCCACATCCTGGTGGTCCTTCGAACAGAATTCATTTGGGTTTATTCGACTCAAAATCAACCCTAGTATTGTTGATTATCTCCTTAAACACATCGGGATGAGTCAGGGTGAAGAGGACAGAGTCCTCTATAATCCTCTTGACCTTATCATATCCAGCAAGGTTATTCCAACTAAGAGTACTTGACTCTGTTGGGATGTAAACAGAGCACCCTTTCTCTTGAAGAGCCTCAGCCAAAGCAATGGTACTACTTTTCTCGATCAAAGATTCGACGCTAATATTTTTGCTGAACATCTTTCCTATGTTTTCAGTACTCATATATCTAGTTGGCTTGAGGCTGTTTATGTAAGATCTCTTGTAAACTTCAAGCAAGGCTTCAATATCTTCGTCTGTAAGAGCATCGCTCTTTTCCAATATAACCTTGCATTCTTTGAAATGGACTCCTTCTTCGAAAGTGATATCTAAGGTTCCATCTTCAATCGAAATTCCTTTAAGAATATCATCTATAGAAGTTAGAGCCACATTGAGTCTTACCGTGGGTGCTGAGAAGAGGGATTTCTATGAAGAGGGAATCTTCATCTATCTTTGACCTAACACCTGGTTTAGGCATTGTCGGGTAAATCTCACATACTTCATTAGCTTTTTCCTTTAGCTTAGCTACAGACCTTTTGAATCTTAAAGTCTGGTGGAAAGGATGGACATCCGCAAACGAGTCTAGACCAGAATAGCCAGTAAATGAATCATTTAGAGCTTCCGCAATGCTAATCTTTCCTGAAGGCTTTCTTTTGTATTGATCTCGTTTTGATAAATACATCTCTTTGACTCTGCCTTTAGCATCCTTGATGATAATATTTCCATTGAGGAAGAAGCTGGCAGTCCCGAAAGCTCTTGAGTGTAGCAACATTGAAGAAGCTAGGTTCCTGGACAAATGTCTTCTTTTCCCAGGCCCAAACTTCAAAAACTTCAAGATGTTTCTTGTGCTGGACATAAAAATATTATATTTCAATTAATCTTACATAAGATGGGGTTTTGGGGTTTTGGGGTTTTGGGGTTTTGGGG